AACATTCACTGGGTTATTGGGTTATGAATGTTGCTCCTGGCCGACACAAGCAACATTCACCTGGGTAATTCTAAGTGTGTAGAGGAAATTTAGTATAGGAGGTAATTATAACAACCTTTGTATGGTGAAGAAATTACATCTCTAGACTAAATTCAAAGGGAATATTTGGCTTAGAAAATCCATGTGACTCGCTGATATCACAGGCACATCGAGTCATACAGTAAAACGCCGACACAAAGAGAGTACAAGCCTTTTTTCTTAGTATTAGAAATAAATAAAGAGAGTTTTTTAGGCAGAATCACACCTCTGCTAAAACTCTGGATATAAAATCCAGAGAATTGTCATTGTGACTAAAATTTGCATCATGTTTGCAGTTGCCTGCACATAGAAAACGACTACTATACATACTGGAAGAAATGACCACGCTCAGAAGCAGGTGAAACTATGGAGAAGTTCACCGCGAAAAAAAAGCTTTGTGAAAGCCGTTATACTGGAGATGAAAGTGAAGATGAAGCGTATATGGTTAGAGCACTTGCAAATCAGTCCGTGTGTTGAAGTTGGAAAGTAAGCATTGGTATTTAGATTCTGAAGCCACTAGCCATATCACTAATCAAAGAATTGACTTTGATTACTTACTCCACCCGTGGGGGGTTGGCGGAGAAAATTGAGTGAATGTGGCCGAAGTTGGTTATAAAATTGAAAATGCAGACAGTGTGTGGGAGATGCGCCATAGAAAAGAAAAAATATTTGCTTTAACAATGCGTATTTTGAGTGGCACGTAATTTTGACTGAAACATTTTTTTTAGAACAAAACAGAAATAGATCCTGTTGCATTCACAATAAAAAAAAAAGTGTCTTTTCATACTGTGAACAGACACTTTATATTATTTTTATTTTGTAGGAATCGTGCTGTTGTTCTTTTGGCAGGATGTCGTATTTCCAAGGTGGTGACTTTGTGGAGCTCTTGAGTGCGCAGGGCAAGTCTCCTGCTGCTGCGTGGAAGCTACAGGGTAAAATCTCCAAGACATTCGATAAAGGTATCAAGGGCAACGCGTTCTCGCTTGACGGTAACGCTGAAACCAAGATGCAGTTACCAAAAACGATGTCTTCTTCGCTGGCTTTGGCTCAAAGGTTTGTCATTTTGCAGCTTCTGGTGCCTTTCACGCGATCTTTCTCCGTGGAAATCTGCTTTTCGGACTTCCAGAAGGTACGTCGCCGCTTCGTAGTGGCATCAGCTTTTCGAGATACAGCTCGAACGGCGTTACATGTCCAGCTTCCTCTCAATGTACCTCGAGATCAGTGGATGAACCTCGTGTTCGATCTTCAAACGTTATCCGAGGTGCACTTCCCAGACTCTGGTTATCGATCGATGGAGTCGATCTGCATTAGCGGTAGTTGTCGGCTCAAGCGCATTTTCACAATGAAGGACGCTCCTACTCCATCGCGAGGTTCGCAAGTTGTCAAGCACGCGGATATCAGTGATATTCCGCGGCAGTTTGTGTTCTCAGCGACACAAAAAGGAGCTAGTGGGGCCATACCCATTCCGACGCAGTATTTCGCACTAGAAGAATCAAATATCGGTAGTATCTGTGGAGTGGCTGTCACTGCTAAGAGCGAAAAAACATCTACGCATCGCAGTCGAACAGCCCCTGTTGAGTGCGCAAAAGGAGTGCGAATAGCACGCCCGGTGACAGGACCAGATCAACCAAAAACAATGGCATCGCCACAGTCGACGGCTCCATCTAATACCAATGTGAAGTCGAGGGGTTCAGGGCATCAGCGTTTGAGTACACCAGCTAGAGTGAATACAGCAGGCAGCAAACTTCGGCGACCACAGTCGAAGCTCGGAAAGGTGATCGTTGCGCAACCGCATTTGAGAGACGATGCACCTCGATCTGTAGAACTTAATGCGGCTACCAGCTCTGATGAGCTTACCGTGGAATCCCCATCTCTAGAACTTCATGTGGATACCAGCTCTGATGAGCTTACCAGGGAAAAGGAGCATTGTTTTGTAGTGCCTGATAGAGTATCAGCTACTCAAGTTAACAAACCGTGTGAGAATAAGACAGAGGACATCAAGTTTACAACTTCTCCGGTGCGAGAGCAGTCGAGTCCTCCAAACAGTGGGCATCCCAGTGTGAAGGAATCTCCTCAAGCAAAAGACGTGCAACTGGATGGGAAAACCCTGCGCGAATCCATCATGGGAGAAATACAGCGAAAGATTGCGAGCTTGGAAGCGGATGATGAACGAGCAGATCAACGCGATCGAGAGCTGTTCTTGCGTCACACGTCACTACATAGTGGAGAATGGCACCTTCAGCGGCTCAGTCGTGAAGATTTATACAGTGACGGGCATAATTCAGCGGATCAAACATTTCAAGACAAGGGACCCTGCATGGACGAGGAAGAGGAAGCAGATGACTTGGATCTCGATCTCCGGGGTGATATGACTGGGCTTTCGATGGACTTGTAAGTTCTGTATTACGTATCTATCATGAATTATCTGCATTATGTATTGAATGTCCCGATTAATATGACAGAACAAGTGAGCTTAGTGCCAGCGGTGAGCATGACCTCGAACATGATGATGATGACGAGAGTACACGCCCAGCAGAGTCGCATACAGACGAAGAAAAGCCCGAGAGCGACAACGGAAGCAGTGACTCACACGACGATGATCGTGGCGATGATTCGAGCTTCGATTTCGGTAGGTTTTCGATCGATACCCGCCTTGTTTCGCGTACTCTTACCTTTACCTGTGCGTTACCATGAATCCAGAGGATCTTGTAGAAGCTGCCGAGTCGATCGATGCCCGTGATGAAGACGAGGAGAAACACGCAGATACCTTATCTTCCCCGCAAAGATCAATACGATTGCCAAGCAATCACAATCCGAGACTTGACAGTTCCCACGACAAGCAACCTGTTCGTGAAAAACGACGTGGACCTCCAGTGCCTCCAAGAAGAATAAAGCCAATAGTGTCACCACTGATTAAATCTCCTCGACCGGAGTCCCCAGAACGATCCGTCAAGCCATCGTGTCCAATTGAGCTATCGTCATCTTTCTCTTCTCGTCGACTGCAGAGTCTGCTGGAGTCGACAGATTGGACAGCCGAACTCAATGCACAAGCGTCCAGTGATCCTCCATCCAGCCATTCGAGCTCAAAGTCCAGCTCACGACGATCAGCGCAGAAGCCATCGCAGACCACGTCGAGTTCGTCCATTGAGCTAGTGTATGACCCAATTTTGCGTTGCTACTACGACCCAGTCGCCAACAAATACTACGCATTAGCGAAATAAAGTCTAAGTTTTTTAACGAAAATCTGCCAAAGATTTAATAACCTCTTTGTCTGATCACCCGTCATCTGTCCCAAGCAGCATATTGGTGACGCTGCGGCGTGATCGCGGCGATACCTGCTCCTCCGGGATTGTACTCTGTGTTAGAGTGTCGCGTTGCCGCCGTACACCGAGGTCTCTAATTACGTCCTTGATCATGTGTGGTTTAAAGTCTTCAGAAAGTGACGCCCAGAACTCGCGATTCGCAAGTAAACAGCGGTACGCCGTAGTGTTGACATTGACAAGGATTTGCGCCCAAACGCTGAAGAGCGGCGAAACAATGAAGTCGGCAAAACCGACCTGCATCTTTTTGATTACGATCGTGTCTCGGTCCATGAAGGGCGAGACGGGGAGTCCAAGCTGCTTCTCCATATCTCCCTGTATGAAAAACTCTTCCACCACTCGATCGGTCCAGCGCAACATTGTCTCGCGCTCTTTGGCTGGGTTAGAGACATCACAAGTGTGAAGAATCATTTTGAGTAACAGCTTCTTGTCGCCTATATTCTTCACCAATACAGCACCTTCGTCTAAAGCAGCCGATAAAATGTTAGTCTTGAATAGTGCGACGTCTTCGAAGTGCTTTGCCATGTCCGTTGCTAAAACCATCTGAATGATCATATCACGCGCGTACTTGAAGTCGTCTGGCGCTAGATGGCCCAGTACATTGAGATCCGCATTCTTCATCACCAAGAAAGACTGAGCCACATGATAGTTTTCCAGCACTGCATGGTCGTTATATCGCAGTGCAATATCGGACGCTGTTGAGATGTGGAAGCCGTTGTTAAAGCCATCATGCATGAAGTCGTGGACTCCTGCAGCGATGAGGGATATAGCACGATCGAGAGGACGCAAATATGGCTGCAGTTCTGGCTGGGTGAGGAAATAGTGCACACTCTGCATCACATCGGCCGCGTGGATGGCATTGTGATAGGGATTTGTGGCGATATATCCGCGTTGGATCTCTAATAGGAAGTTCACGAGTAAGCTGCTCTCAATATTTAAAGCTTGACAAGGTGCGTCACAGAGAAGATGGTGGCCGATGTAACTCAATGCGTTCCCACCCGATACAATGTGCACTCGGAACACGTCAAAGTTCCAGGAATTTAAACCTTGAAGCAGATTCTGCAACTCAAAATCGGATGCTGAGTCCAAAACTGGAAGAAGGTCGCGCATTGTTGCTCCTCGATTTGAATGAGAGAGCGAGCGTTCATGGTGGTGTCGATGGGGTGACGAGGATTTGGATTCGCGACCATCCGAGCTGCCACTAACACCATCATTGACGCCCTCCCCTTCAGAGCACGAGCTACCGACGGATGAGCGTCGACGCTTACGATTCGGATCATTCTCATCGTCTTCAGCAGTAGCATCGGGCAGTACTTTGTTCATGTCATTTCCTCGAAGCATCTCACCACGTAACCAGTTCTGGGTATCGTCATCGACTCCTTCCACTGCCAATAATTCCTCATTGGCGTCGTACAGTCTGTTATTCTTGATAGTGTCGATAGCAAAGTCCAGTCCATCCCTCAACGACGGACGGATGGCTGGATGGAACCTCAGTTCGTTTAAAATCCGCAATACCTGTTCGACGGGCGACGTGATGGCTCCCTTGTTTAAATGCATGAGGTTCATGGACTTGGATCTCTGTTTCACTCTCTCAAACACCACCAAAACTCTCAGTACACGCAGAATCACGCGTAGTCTTAGAATCTTTACTACAACCGTGGATGTGGTCCCCATGGCGGCTACAACGCCCAGTACGAAGCTGACGACGATCACCAGGGCGTCAAACAGTGCCCATACATCTTTCAAATAGTGCAATCCGTAGGCAAACACTTTGAGTAAGATCTCCAAAAGTAAAATGGAGCCCACAGTGATGTCCGTCACGTCAATCGCCAGTTTGTATGACGACAGCGTGTCGTCCGCCATGGTGAGCTGCACCGTCACAAAGACGCCGTAGAACAGCACGATCATGACGAAGAATAGCTCGACGCTTAATTGCCGCATGAACTCGCCTACCGCCAAGCGAACGCGGTGCATTGAACGCACGTGCGTTGCGCCGCTCTGTCTCCGTGTGGCGAGGTCATTGCCCCCAGCGCCGCGTCGCTTGCGTGTGTGTCCTTCTGCACTTGAATGTGCATGGGCGGCGTTATCTGCGGGCGCCACGGCGCGTGACCGGCGCTCGCCATACGGAGAGCGACGTAGGAATCGTGAAAAGGTCTGGCGCTTGGGTCTACAGGCGCTGGACGGCGGATGAGCCGGGGCCGACGGTGGAGGCACGGACGGCGACGACTCGCCCGACATGGAGGCCGTACTCGAGTGTTAGTTGAAGGTCTCAACTTGAGACAACGACGCCTATGGCTCGGACGGAATGCGATGCAGTTGCAGCAGAGTTGAAGGCGTTGCGGAAGTTGCTGTCTTGTTGGAGAGCTATTGATAGCAATGACGAGCTATTGATAGTTGCGCACGAAGAGGCGCAAAAAGAACTTTTGCTTCCAAAGGGCGCCGAAACTCTGATGCAGCATGGAGCATGACATAATACAGGTTTCGTGTGTTTTTGCTTGAAGTTGACCAGCGCCAAGCGCACGCGTGATTGATCGGCTTCTGCGGGCTCTCTGGTGCTTCATGGTGGGGCTTGGAGCAGGTTGGTTGGCAATGCATTTGCGATGTCACGATTCATGACGCTTGTCCATCTAGCAGTCTTAGTGATGCTGCAGCCAGCAGCTGGGGGTGAAACCCTGACGATTGTGTTGACACCTCTGTGGATAACGCCTTCCGCCACGCTTGCAGCGCTTGCCACGGAAGACACGACGTTGCTTTATGATGGACATGCCAGTCAATGCGTAGCACAGGCCTGGTCTTCAGCCTAGTACAGTAGGCTGAAGACCGCGATCCTTTTGGCAGTTGAGCGAACGTTTCACCGGGAGCAAATCCGATTGAAAGGCAACTTGTGCCCTTTTGTGGTGATGCCACGCAAAACATCGGCAAGTCGGGCAAAATGGATGCAAAGTAGGCGTCTTCGCCGACGTCGATGCCGATGCAGTCACTGTGACGCGAAAGATATCGCTCAACTTGACCCGCCTTTCCGTCTCGTGGCGCTGAGAGGAGCAAAGCACGGCCGAGGTAGTCATAGTCATTGCACAGTTCGTCCGGCGAGCGGTGCAATGGCTATGACTAGGCGAGATAGCGTCTTCTAAGCTTTTTCCGAGAGTGCTTCGGCCGTCCGTCGCAAGGACAAGGTATCATCCGCCGCGAATCTCGTCCGAAATGGTCTGCATTTTGTGACGGCTTCCATATTTCTGTTGACCAAACCGCGGGGCCTGGTCCCTTGTCGCACTTGGCTTTTGTATGCAACAACGGAGTCATAACCGGAAAGAAGAAAAAAGGACCCACGCATACAAATCGCGAGTCAGTCCTCACTCCCGCAACTTCAAAGCGAGCAGCAGCAAGCGAAATCCCACGAGGTCTCGAGCTCTCCCGCCCTTCCTACGCCTTGGTCACCCGTTCGGGGTTTGCCACGCACATAGGAAGTCCCTGTCACCATGCACCGCACGCGTCACTCGTCGCTGGACTATTTGGGCGGCGGCGCGTCCTCGCAGGAAGAATGGTCCGAGTTCCTGTCAACGAGCATGATGGCGTTGTCCACGGCCGACTCAAATGCGTCTCCAGCGTCTCCCACGCGCCGTCACCAGCACCATCCAGGTGCCGATATCTCCGTGGGTCGTCGTCAGGTCAAACCGCGCGGTATGTCCTTGAATGAGGCGATGTCTCCTCTACCGACCGACGCTTGGCGTCCTCTGGGGCGGCGCGTGGCGTCTCCACCGCCTTCTTCCAGCTCTCCAGACTCGCCGTCGCCACCTTCGTCAGCTGACAACCAGGTGGACCATTTCCGCCCTGTAGACCCCCAAGTTACAGTCATGTCAACATCCTCGTCGACGTTTGGGCGACTTGGAAGTAGCTCCTCGCTTCGAGAGTCTGGAGACGCCATGCTTAAACACTCAGCGAGTTTCCGTGGTGTCGTGAGCTCTTGTCTATCGTCTCCAGGTTCGTCCATCTACGGCTCTTCGTCAGATGAAGAGCAGCTACAACAGGAAGGGAATTCTCCGCTGTCTAACCAATTGGACACGAGTTCTGTGCCAGGCCCACCGCCTGTGGATCCGTCCTATGCTGAATCTTGTCTTCCAGTGCTTTCACAGCTGCCACGTCCACCGAGAAGCATCAGTGTGGACAGTGGCAGTGGAGCTCGTGGCAGCTCGTTGGTTCATGTGAAATCCCCAGTGCTTGGCAACAGGAAGGACGCACAGACGTGGCAACTGCAAGATGAAGAGTTCTTGATGACGTCGCCACGTTTCGGTTCGTCGCTGGGGAACAGGGACGTTGGACAAGTCGATCTGCTCCGTGGAAACAGTACGGGCTCCCTGCTTTCCACGTACGTTGCTCTACTTGTTAGTCAAGTAGGTGGATTTAATGCTGATGTGAGTGCTTTTTTGGATATGGCTACAGTGAGGCGAGCAATCAGTATGAGGGGGACTACCAGGGTCACCCAAGGTAAGAACTTAGCGGGAGTACATGTATATGCTTCTTCTTTTTATCGTAACGATGTTGTTACCGTTTGATTCTTTTAGGCTAACAAAGGATTCGCGAGCTTCATCGGTGGATTTCACTTTGGGACGCTCGCGTGAGGTGAATCCGCCACTACCTCCAGCAACTGAGCCATTGCAACGCTTACGTGCGCGATCGTTCTCGTACTCGCCAGCGTATGGCTCCTCCGGGTACAACCCATTTAATGGCAACAAGCAGTATGGCCCTCCACCGCACATGCACCAGCCGGCGATGGGGCAAGAATTCCCGCAGACTCTTCGCAACTTCCACTCAGCAAGTGGCATGATGCCTGGTCAGCCACAGCCACCACCGACAGGAGTTCGCCCACCGCGTGTCAGTATCCCGACGGATTCTCCCATGCACCAATACCAGGTTCGTTTACTTATCTCCCTGTTCAGTGTGTCTAGATCACTAATGATAATATTTTTTTTTTCATTTTAGTATGGACCCCCGATACCGTATCGCCGGTACTCCGATGCATTCGCAATGCCGCCGTATCCGGACTCGTACACTGGTGAGCAACAGGAAAACCAATCGCGTCAGAGTAATACGGGTCGCGGTATGCGTTCGTACAGTATGGAGTACGGCAATTATCCGACATCCCGTCAAGTGCGTAGCCAGTCGATGGAGGGACCACAACTCTTCGCTTCGGCGCCACCGATGGAGTACCCTCCATCTTTAAGTCGTAGTAACTCTGCTGGCGTTGGCTTCGATTGGCCACGCAGCCGTATGGATCCAGCGCCCCCTTTACCCCCTGATGTTCGTCCTGGCACTGGAAACGGCGCTTCCCACTTCCCACCGCCACCACCTGAAGCATATTATGACGTGGAGTTTAAACGGGGTCGACAGGAAGTCTTTGCTGGTCGTGCATCCTACAAACCTGGCGAATACGTTAAGGTATGTATGTGCATTGCAGGTTTAAGAAGTGTGTCTGTGCTAATATGACTTTACCTTAGGTGGAGGCAGACCGTGGAGAGGATATTGGTCGGATCGTGCAACGCACCACAGACATTTCGAAGGTTGGGTCGGACTCTGGAAGCCCTAGAGAAGAATCTATGACGCGTAGCAAGCGCCATGACCTCCCGACCAAGAAGATTATTTGTGTAGCAAGCCAACGCGAATGCGAGATGCTGAACGAGCAAGTAAGGGAAGCTTGTATTTTTGAAGTGGTATTGTGCATGTGATGCTAAAATCTGTGTAACTGCTGCAGCGTAAAGAGGAACACGAGGTGTTTGAAGTGTGCAAGAGCAAAGTGCGTCAGCGTCTCCTTCCTATGAATGTGATCGACGCGGAGTATCAGTTCGACCGTCACAAGCTGACGTTCTTCTTCGAAGCCGATCGGTATGGTGCTCAACTCTCGCATTGGTGGTATGCTTTATTTTTTTTTTTAATTATTTTGTATTTTCCATAGCCGCATCGACTTCCGAGAGCTCGTGCGTGATCTCTTCGCTATCTACAAGACGCGCATTTGGCTACAACAAGTCGTCCCTTCCGGGAAGAAGGCGGGGAATGAACCCGAGGCCAACTAACTGCCCTGAAGGCAGCATCATCTGACTGAGAGGTGAGCTATAATCTCTCTCGCTTCGGCAACACACGTATTTCATCCGCCTCAGCCTGGGTGGTCCGCCGCGAGATCGGAATGCGACGACCTCAAGACCGGACCATACATAGAACTACAAGAGAGTGGCAGGTGGTCAACCTACAAGAAGCAAGGCACCCCCCAAAAGACAACCCGAAAAACAGTGCAGCGAGATATGCAGGGAGAGGACATTTTAGATGGCGATTTAGACGGAATATGTTAGAACTGGTGACGTTCGCGCGCAATAGAATGCTTTTGCTTCAGCCCGCGGTAAATGATTCAAAATATGATGGAAATCTTCGCATCGTTGAGCCCCCGACCACCAAGAAAACTTTTGACTGGACGCATTTTTCTATTTACTAGTCTTAATCTGTCTAGGTGTTGACCAATGCCGACCATTTCTCTTCCGTGCTAGTTCATTCATCCGCCCGAGAAACTGTCGACACCTTCGGCTAACTTTTCCATTGAAAAACAACGGACAAACGGCCCTTCACTGGTGGGTGCCGGTCATTTCAGGAATATCAAGACTTGTGTGATGAGAGATGAGCTGCGTGAGTTTGATGAAGGCCGTGGGGAGACCTTAAACCATGGAAGTTCGAGTTTAAGTGAAGCCACGGCGGGTCAAGGTCGTTATGTGGTGCCCTTCACCATGTCACGAGAGGAAGAAGCCGTCGGGATGGAACTGGCACGGTCTCAGTTGGCACAGTTGATGAACGAGTGTGCTACGTCAAGTACTGACCATTCATGGACACGAGTCAAGTCTCGGAAGTCAACGGGGGTTGTTCTATGGGAGAAACGATCCATGAAAGCTAAACGAGAGTCTAAGCGGAAGATATGGGGGGCGATACCTAGCACGTCTGTAATAGGTGTAGATGAAGATCATGGACCAGTGACGTACAGTGTTCGCAGTAGCACGACTGTGAGTGCACCATTGGATACGGTGCTTAAGACTCTGGATGCGTCGGTGGCAACAGCACATCGGTCGTTCACCAGAATCATCTACGGTAACCTCGTAGCTGACACGTCCGTACTATACCATAGCTCGACGCCCTGCACCGATTTCCTGGCCGAGAACGAAAACGACAGCTTTGAAACACTCGCTGTTCGCTGGTTTGTGTGTCGATGCAGTAACCCAATGGTCTCCGACTGCGACTTATGTCTTCAGGAGTATACGAAGCGATACTCAATTGACGAGGTAGCCATGAACGGCGATCACTACAACAATAACAAGTGTGAAGATGACGATATAAGCAGTGACAACTACGAAGGTCTACACC